AAATAAAAAGGAACTCCCAGTACTGTTGACAACAGTGGGAAAAGGGAGAAGGATAGGGAGAAGGACAGGATCTGAATGTTCTGGAAGTCCACTAACTGTTGCAGAAACATCGAAAAATGAGGATTTTGAAAGATCTGTCACCAGCATTGCCAGTCAGACCAATGACATCCACGCAGGCAAAAAATGAATAAGTGCTTTTTTTCTGGTTATAGGATGAATTACAGGCATGTCTATCAAGATATGCATCACAGACAGTCAGGGGAATGTGAAGAAAGTGCTGTGCATGAGCCTACAGGCAAGTTCCATGACATTCTTATTGTGAAAGAATTGAACTGGAGAACTTCCAGTTCATTCCTGCATTCCTTCTTGGGCATCTATTACCACTCCTGCAATGAAGGGGTGTGTAACCACAGCTGCTTGGATGTACCATTCTGCTGGGCAGTGAGGGAACAGAGTGAATTTAAATTTAAATACTGATCAACACTCAAATTTGAGGCATAAGGGTTGTATTTACCATTGCTGTGGATTCTGTTCTATTTTGTGTTAAATTACTTAGCTGCTAGACAATCTTTTCTAAGAAGCATATTGTTGAAGAGGTATCCTTTGTCCCACATATAAAGCCCTAGGAATGTTATTGCTCATGTATGAAAGCAACAATCCTACCTGGAATCACAGCTAGGGGGGTGTGTGTGTATGCACACACTGCAGGACTTCTGCATAAACATGGTCACAGCACTGCTCTCAAAAACATGGACCTCAGGGGTCTGAGCACCTGCTGCTCCTCACCAGATGAGTGCAAGTGATCCACAGAGCAGGAAGAACTCCATGGCTGGAGAGAGGCTGATGTTGTGCTTCCAACAGCAGGATCAAGGTACAGAAAGCCCAGCTCTCACGTAAGTCTGGTACTATCAGCAGAAAGCCAGGACCTTTCTTCCCTAGACTCCTATCAGGACTGCCCTCGAGGTGCTGAACTACTGAGACAAGCCCAGTGCTGCTCCACATAGTCCTGATGCAGAGCTCTGACTGAAGACCTGGAACATAACCTGTCCAAAGACAAATGGTGACTATTTGATGAGTCACCTTCTGAATGTCAATGAAATAACCAGTTATAGAGAAAGGAAATCCAGACTTCTTTCGCAAACCAGGCATTCTGTGCCATCTGGTTGGAATTGCATTATTGACTATGGCAATTTTTCCTCCCCATTTTTACAAGTGGAATCTTTTGATGTATCTTTAAAGAAACAATATTCTTGTACCCTGGGCCTCTGGAACATTCAGCAGCAGATACAAGTACTGTGATCAGCACCAAGGCTCTCTGATGCATGTCCACCACTGAACTTTTTCTAACAGGAGATGGAAAGCCTCTGGCTTGCCCAAGAGATGCATTTCACAGAACTCGTAAAGCTCCAGTAAACACCCACTTTAGCTCTCAGTTGAGCAAACAGAAATGTTTCAGCTCTAACTGTTGGGAAAGCAACCATAATCCCTTCAATAGTTCTATCACAATATTTTCCAGAGAGTATTTAATTCTTTTAAAAGTTGATTAAGGTACCTCAAGACTGGTGGTGAAAAAACAAACACCAAACATTTCTGGAGAGCCGAGCTTGAACACGAACACTGCAGGATTGGCGGACCCAACAAACCTGTTCAACACTCAGTTCCGTGATTCACCTCCAAAGGAAATTTGTGACTCATTTTCTGTGATAATTTTCTATTCTATAAAAGCAGAGATAATGATACACCTTCTGATCAGCTTTGCTCCATAGCTTGTAGTGAGTGACAATATGAGAAAGAAACAGTAACACAATTAACTTGCTGTTGAACGAGCTCACGACAAGACTCTTTCACTGAGACACTGAATAGGAACAATGCAGCTTTAGAAGCATAAATCTGAATTAGAGAAGGTACATATTAGTCATCAGTACACAGCAATACTACCAGGAAAAACGTTTCTCTATCAGTCATTAACGAGGTTAAAACTGACTTTGGAGATCCATCTTGAAAGGCAGCAACGCAGCAAGCACTAGCTACCAGATATGTATAAAATTTTGTTTAGTTTATTACTAGGTGAATAAGCATAGACCAAGTGATTAATTAGAGAACTGTGGTGAACAATGACTATTATAAAAACATACACAATGACTTTGGCAGTGGTGGTTATTTATGTTTTGTTTTGAGACAGTCAATTGCAGACAGCACTGTGGTAATGTTAAAAAATAAAAATAACCTTTTAAAAAAAAATCTAGTCAGTGTAGCAGAAGACCAGTTTGTATGTTGTTGTCCTACCCACTGCAGTCTCAGCAGATCTCAGGGGAGAGAGTAAGACCAGTGCATATATTCTTTAACTACAATATTTCATTTGTTTCTGTGTCCCCCATTTGTTGTAACATCCATCCTATTGCCCTTCCCGTTTCTCTAGATCACAAGCTCTGGAACTTGCATTTTTCCAGACAAAACAGACCTAAAAGGTTTGGTGTGGAGACCCAGTTTTTCACTCAGAGAGTTCATTCAGCTGCACAGGTTTCACAAGTTAAAAAATCCCAAACAGTATAGTATTTATTCCAGTGTTTCAAAGAAAATCAAGGATGAAACAGCTGAATTGATAAACCAAATAACTATTTATCTAAAATTGCTTATGTATCTCAGCACTAGCTAGTGGTAAATGATCCCAGCTTTCAAAAGCAGGAATGAGGAAGACTCATGGACCTACAGCATGATTCATTCATAAAGCATAAAAACCAGCAAAAATTATGAAGTGGAGGGTTTGTGAACACTAGGATAAATGTAACCATTTGATGAGTCACCATGTGTTTTGTAAAGGTGAGTCTTACCTTTCCAGTCTGCTGAAGTTCTTTTGAAGGGGCTCTACAACAATGTACCTATAGACTATTCGATGCAGTCCAGTTCACACCATTTTTCAATACTAAATTAAAAGAGACTAGGTTTTATAGACATATTTGTGCAGTAATTGTAATGTCCAAGAAAACTTTTGAGAATGTCCCTCGAACTTTTAAGAAAACCTGAAACATGTTTTTTTTTAAATTCAAGCAAGTAGACTGTTCATACATGAGAGAAACAATTTCAGCAATATTTCCAAGAAATGTGCTCCAACTTCTGTTATGTTCAAAGAATCATAACTGATCTGGAAAAGTAAGTAACTACTGATGGATAAGGGCAGTGCAAATACTAGTAAAATGAAATAAAATTTGAAAAAAACCCCCAACCTTGGAAATCTTTCTGCTACTGCTACTGCTACACTGCATTTCACCATAGACTATCATCCTTCTGGAGGTAGCAACTGAAACCCAGTTTGTTGAGGATATTACCCCAGGTGACATGTTTCTGTATTGGAAAGTTGGGTGCAAGACTGATGACAACTTCAAGGACTATTTTAAGTTTTCCAATAGCTGTTTGTCAACACAAGCTGATTACATAATATAAGCCCACTGCTTTTTTTTTTTTATAGGTCACTAAGTATAGCCTTCTAATGCAGCTCAGCAGCAGATGCTTAAAACAAACAAGTCTTTCCATTAAGGGTTTTGCTTCATAAATTTCCACTTGATGGCCTTAACTGCTCCATGACTGTGTGTTTAGTAAAAGTTAATAGGGAATTCCAGGCTCAAAGAACATCACGGGACCTTGGCTGATTGATTAATCAACGATTTCACAGAATCATAGAATTGTCAGGGTTGGAAGGGACTTTTGGAGATCATTCAGTCCAACCCCCCTGCCAAGGCAGGGTCACCTGGAGCAGGTGACACAGGAACACATCCAGGTCGGTTTGGAATGTCTCCAGAGAGGGAGACTCCACAACCCCCCAGTGCTCTGCCAATGTCAAGAAATTCTTCCTCATGTTGAGGTGAAACTTCTTGTTTTAGTTTATGGCCATTGCTCCTCATCCTGTCGCTGGGCTCCACTGAAGAGTCTGGCACTGTTCTCTTGGCATCCGCGTTTGGGATATTTATATGTATTAATGACATCGTCTCTCAGCCTTCTCTTCTCCAGACTAAACAGACCCAGCTCCCGCACTCTCTCCTCATGAGAGAGATGCTCCAGACCCCTCATCATCTTCGTGGCCTTTGCTGGACCCTCTCCAACAGCTCCTTGTCTTTCTTGTCCTGAGGAGCCACCAGCGGGATAATAAAGAACTCAACATCTACCCGAGCCAATAGAACACAGCATTAAAAAGCAAATCAGGCAGAGCACAGAACAGTTTTTCCACAGGCCGGTGTGTCGGGCTTGAGGAAAACAGACACCTCAACACCTGCCTGGAGGCGAGTTTTTTGATTTTACTTACGCAACTCCCCGCAGCTGCAATCGCAGAACTATCTGCGATGAGCCGGCACCGGCAGCACCAGAACACAGCCAGAGGGATCTCCTGGCACAGGCACGGGCTGGAACAGGAGTCAGCGGGCAGCTCGTCCCTGGCTGGCGACACCGATGGAGCCGCCCCGTCCCCCCTCACCTCGCGGGCTCCGCGCTCGAACGGCCGCCGGGAAGTGACGCACGGCCGGGGGGTCACGGACGGGAAGCGTTTTGGGGCCCGGGAACCGCTTTTCCTCGTTTTTTTCTACCTTCCCCATCCCTTCTCCCCTTCCCCCCCCCTCGCTTCCCCGCGAGCGAGTTAAAAATCGTACTCCCGCCCGGAGCTGCCTCGCCCCGGCCGCTGTCCCGCCGGGATTGGAGGAGCGCGGGCGGGCTGAGGGAGCGGGGTGGCGGGAAGGGGGAGCGGGGATGGCGCTGAGGGCCGGGCTGGCCGGGGCTCACCCCGCCGGCTCTCGGCGTAGGTAAAAGCGGTGAGAGCCGGGGCGAGGCGCCAGCACGGCGAGAAGGGGAGAGGGCAAGACCCGACTACAGCTCCCAGCCTGCCCCGCCGCGGTGCGGGAGGGCTGGCGGGGGCACCTGCCGGGGTCAGGGCGCTGCTGCTCTGAATACACAGCACACCCGGCGAGAGGGGAAGGACGCGGGTGAAGGGGGAGCGGCCGGGGCCGGAGGGCGCGATGAGCACAAGGACCCCACGCCGCCACAGCGGCGGGATCGCCCCGTCCGGCCGCGGCCATCAGCGGCGCGCAGCGGGCGGGCCTTGCGGTGCCGGTGCGCGCTTCTCATTGGTTTTCGTGACTGTCCGTCAAGCCGGCGGAGCCCTTCCATTGGTCATTGCGTTCCGGGCGGGCTCTCCCTCGCGTCAGCGCCGAGCGGCACCACTCCGCGGCAGCGCCGGGGGAGGGCGGCGCGCCGCTCATTGGTCCGCGCCGCTGCCCATCATCGGCGTTCCACGCGGCCATTGGCGGCGGCGGCCGCCGGGGGCGGGGTCCCTCTCCCCGCCGCGGCAGCAGCGGCAGCAGCAGGAGGAACCCGGGCGGCGCTCGGCGCTGCGATCGGCGCCCCGCGTGTGTGAGGAGAGGAGCCGCCCGCCGGGCGCCGCGGCCCGGGAGGGAGCAGGGAAGGGGCCGGGAAAGGAGCGCTCCGGCCCGGTGAGGAGCCCGCGGGGCCGCCGGAGAAGGCGCTGCCGCGGGCGGGGGTCGCGGTGCGCTGTAGGAGGGAGCGAGGGCGGGGGGCCGCGGCCGCAGTGCGCAGAGCGGGGGCAGCGCTGAGGGAGCGGGGGCGAGGCCCGGGCGGGGGTCGCGGTCCGGCGGGGCCAACCCGGCCCTTCCCCTGCCCTAATATAGCCAGGACTGGCCGGGGAGCGGCACACAGCGCTGGTCGTGCATTATGGATTTATTATTTTATTTATTTTTTTATTTTTTTATTTCTGCTGCATGTTGGGCAATGCTGCGTGTGGATGTATCTACCATGTTATAATCCAAAGTGTGAGTGGACTCGGGAGCAAACTACGTCACAGGCTGGGTTTTTGCCATCTCTTAATAACGTTTTTAAAATGAGTTTTCAGCACTGGATGGTTTCGCTTTATGAGGAAGACGGGATGAGACAGAAAAAGGAGCGAGGCATCGCTGTTTCTTGCATGGAGCCTAAGAATTATTCAGACTATTCACCTTAAGAGATTTGCACACAACCTACATGTTGGTGGATTTGTGTGATGTCTGTAGAAAGCTGGATTAGGAAGGTGATGGAAAAAAAAACCCTCAGAAGAGTGGTGCACACTTTGCTTAGGGGGCATGGCCAGATGGTCTAACCTACCATAGTGTTTGGTGGTTTGGGGTGGGTTTGTTAATAGTCTTAATTCTTAATTTTGGTACCTACTTCTCATTAACCTGAAGCTGGAGAGAGCTTGTGTGCCCCATTGCAGGACAGGGAATGTGTCGGGTTTTTTTCCCTTGCAGTGTCTTACATTGGCCTTTTTGCATTGAGATATTAAACCTGCAGATTTTAGCGGCGTTGCTTTTTCATGTCTTGTCTTCTATAAGGAGTAATGTCTTTGAGACCTTGTTTTTTTCCTGAACATTAAGGAACAATCTTACAGGGCAGCATGTCTTGTGAATGTTAGATTAGGAGTATGTATTTACTATCGAAGTGAAAGCAACAATGAAATTCGGAAATTATTTTTCAAAATATTCGAACAATTTGCTATTCAGGAGAAACAAATGGCAATGGAAACATGATTTTTTTTTTTGGCAGTCTTCCGTTGGCTTGTTAGAAATTATAACATTGGCATGCACTTAATATTAAGCATTTGTTCCACAGCAAGTACTGTGATGTCAAGTGGTTGAGTTTTTTCTAGGAATTTATAGATTGTACTCCTCAATTTAGAGAAGTCCCAGTGGTAAAGATAATGTCAACACTCGTGTCTTTAAATCTTGGAAGGTGAAAAATGTAGTACTTGTAACTGCATTGCTCAGTCATTTTTTTATTTTACAGACTGTATTTTGCTATCAAGATCAACTACTACTTTTCTTAGGATTGACTAAATACCGGTATTTTTGAGGGGTGTGCAGCATAGTGGGTTAGGTTTGGTAGCAGTTTTCCAGAAAATATGTGTTAGAGGTTTGGGAAGGGTCAGTCGCTCTAATCTGTTGCAGTGGTCCTCTCTTTATATTTTAAATTTTGTATCTCTGTTAAGAGGAATAAAGGAAAATTTGAGGAGACTGCTATTACTACTTTGCTCTTTCTCCTCTTAAGCACAATTCTGTCTATGTCTTTTTTTCTTCTTTTAGCTTATGTTAAGTTTTTGGTTTTCATTTCTTGTCAAGTTTCAATATATTTGCCTTACACCGTAGTCTTACTTATTTTATATTTCTTGCTTAAAGTCTGTCTGTGAAACTGCTTCACACCGTTCCTAGGTCAGGTGCTTTAGGCACAGCTCTGAGTATAACACACAAATTCCACAGTTTTGGGTTCTTTCAGTTGAAAGGTGCTATCACTTTGCTGCAGCAGCCTCTTTTAATTCAAGTCCATGTCTTTCTATCACCATTTTCCCACATTTACTCCTCCTCACAGTTAATTTGACTTTAAGAGATGTAACGCCGTATTTTTTTAAATACAATTATATGTTTAAAGTTTCCAGGTGCTGTATTCCAGGCTTTTAAAAGTAGTTGATACAGTTGCATTTCCGGGGACTCTGGGGAAAATGGGCCTTCTGACACCGTGTTCACAGCGAGTGAGTTGTCAGGTAGTGGGATCGGTATAAACTTTGACTTGGCTGCAATGTAGCATGCAGTGCATTTTTATAAACACATTTTAATATATATTGACAGCATGGCTCAGTTTTGGTGAGCTGAACAACTCAGTGCTCTTTTACCGTCTGCATAAAAATAGCAACAGCTTTGGATGCCCTGATTAGCCAAAGTGTATTAGTTCTGAAATTTTCCGGCACACTCGAGTTCTTGTTTCACAGGTACGAGCAGAGTTAAGAAGCAGCCGATAAATACAAAGTGCTGTAATTCAGGGGTGTGACAGCTGAGGAGCTTTCCATGGGAGTGGGAGAGTATCCTGTAATCCCGGCACCGCTGGGCTCAAGGACTGCAGAAGTGTTGGGAGCCCGGTCAGGCTCTTAGTGGCAGCTTTCCCGGGTCCATCCCACCTGCTAATGGCCAGATAGGAATGACCCAGGGGCTTTTGTTGACGGCTGCATTCCAAGCTGCCCCTTTTAATGATGGAAAGATGAGTCGTTTGGCGAGGCAAGACCTGGATAATAAGGTCATTCACATCGTATTCTTTAGGCAAAAAGGATCTCTGGGAATGCCTTAATGTGGTGCTCACTCCGGATGATGGGAAGCATCTTTACAAGCCCATTAAAGTAGGTTTTGTGTGTTTCTTTCTGTTTCTTCGTTGAGGACTGATGTGCTGTGCACAATGTTAGGAGATTTTTGAAGGTGGTGTTGGGAAGCTCTATTTGTAGGAGATCATAAGTCAGCAACAGATTATGATTGACTATTGTTGGGAAAACGTCACTTTGGGCCTGCCTATAATCTCATTTTGATTTCGTAACTTTTTGAAGGAGCGCTTTAGAGGAAAGAATGTCTGAAACCAGATTTATGGAAGTGCAGCAGCCTTAATTACAGAACAGCCTGCACTGCTACTCTTGGGCATAAATGAGTCCCCTGCAGTTCAGTGTATGTATTATGAGAATCCTGTCAACGTGTCATTTTATGATATGCACTCTTCTCCAATATATAGAATTAAATTTCCAAGAATATTAAATTCGATTATTGTATGTTCGTATCCAGACTGCTGCAGCAAAGTGGGATGGTTGTGGAATGCTTATTCCAGGGTTTCTTTTCTACTCTTTATGTTGGATCTCTGGAAGGGAATGGGCCATTATCTCATAGGGCCATTATTTCTTAGCAGCCACTGATTTCTCCTTAAACATGCTACATTGTTCATCTCTTTTTTCATCTGCTGCTAAGTTGCTGTTCTTTCTCTCTCCTTCCCAACAGCAGTTCTTTTTATTCTTTAATCTGTAACTCAAATTCTTGTATAAAATGGAATTCCATCCTTTATTTAACGCTCATCTCTCTCCTCTACCCCCTCCCCAGGTTCGTTATCCAGTTTGCACTGCAATGTGTGAAAACTCTTTGTCCCACAGTGGATAAAATGGTCTGAAGGCTGAAGCTTGTCAGGGCAAGTGTCCCAAATATCATTAAAACTATGGCTAAACAGCATAGCATAGTTGTTCCTTCATTTTGAAAGCATAGTTTTGGAAAACTTGCCTTACTGGGTCAAAAAATAACCTCTAAAAGGTGTAAATGCAGAAGGTGTTGTTGGATTTGGTTTAACAAAAGTGTGGTGCTGAGTTTTGTGTTTTTCGGTACAAAGGCTGAGGTGTGACAGCTCTCTGTAGGTGTCCAACTAAAGCATTTTAGTTTACATTACTCTGAAGCAGGACATAAACAGATGCACTTCTGGCAAATACCTGCCCTTGTGAAAGAGGCCATCATGGTGTCACAGCCTTGGCTTTTTGTTCACCTGTCACCTCCTCTGGTCTGTTAAATGAGCTGTTATTGGGACGAATTTCCCAACTTTTAGCCGTGTAAGATGTAGGTCTCTTAGTCTGTCAAATTGAAACATGTATTGGGAGACTTGGAGGAGCAGTTTTAACTGGCAGATGGAGGAGATGGTGACTGGAAGTGAGATCAGTGACTTCTTTAGCACAGCTGAATCTGGAAGAGGCTGTTGGTTGTGCAGCTGGGGAGTGAAGTTCAAACCAGTTTGAGTGTTCCTGCCAACAGCAGATTGGGGAGTGTGCTCACAGTGCTTCCCCGTGGCAGAGCTTTGGGCACAAAAACCTCCTGCTGCTGGTGAGTATTCGGAAGCAGTTGCACCATTGACCAGTGCTGGATCCATGAGCAGATTTCCATCTGTTTTCATGTTCTAAGCGAGTTCAGAAGAATTCTGGATGTTCTTGTGGAGATACTGTAGGAGTTCTGAGAGGCATTGGAAAATTGCTGGCCCTTATAACTTAGGCTTTGATCAAAAATTTAGGTTTTGTACCCAAATGCTGCAGTAGCAAAATGAGTAAATCAGTTTGTGGGGAATTCTTGTCCGTGTTATCACAGCGGGATTTGGAACATTTCAATAGCAGGTACAGAAAAAAGCCTTTTTCCTTTAAAGCATTGTTAATCTCCTCAATCTTTTGGATGAAGAGCTACATTTCAGGTTCAATGTGCTCTGTAGGTGTTTGAAGAATAAAATTTGCTGCAAGGATTAGATTCTTTTTCTCCCTTTCTTTTATAATCCATTCCATAACTTTGAGCAAGAACCAAACCCTTGCCAGTTTGTGTCTTCCCTCAGAAGTAGCTCCATTGATTAGCAAAGCTACACACAAGGTCAGTACTGTGACTCAAAATAAGACCTGACTTGCCTTTTTGAGTTGATGGATCCTTATCTTTGTCCACTGGAGGAGTCAGACTATACCTGAACAAAAACTTTTGCCCAATGGCTTTCCAAGGGAAAGCCAAGGGAAACCGATAGATTTTCTTGTGTTGGTGACAATTGGATACTGTGTATCTGCTCACAGTAGTTTTACTGTGAAAATTGACTGTAATGAGTCCTTGATTTTTACTCAAAATGAAGATTACAAATTATTAGTCTCCTAGTTTGGATGTTGTGGTTTCTTCTTTTTAAGTTTTAAGCACATCAGAGTGATCTTTAGTGTATTTTCATGGCAGTAATCTCTCAGATGGATTCTAAGTGTGTT